AGCTCAATCGCTCAGTTTGGTAGCAATACTTATTTTGGAAATCAAACTGTGTTTCATACTGAGTTGAGTAAGGTAATTAATTCATCAATTTCAATACAGGAGAAATGAAATTCTTCAAGTCTTGTTTCTGGACATTTAATTGCACCTTCCTCTGAAAAACTGGTGAATAATGATTCGAATGTTAGTAAAGAGCGATTTAATCTGTTTACTAACGTTCTGATTTTATTAATTATTTTGCCTTCATTAGTTAATGACATTAATTTCAACTTATTCAGAGTTCTAGTATCTTATTTTTTCACTTCGTATTAATATTTTCTTCGGCAGATAGCCGCTACGTTCATTTCGCTTTGCTCTGCCCATTGTTTCAATACGAAAAGGCAGCACTTCCACCCATTAAAAAAATCTTTGAAGAAGAGGAGGAACCTGTGTTTGATTGCCTTCGAAACTGATAGCGTTTTAGTCAAAATGTATGACAAATTAACATTGTCATTTTGCCTAATTTTAAATTTTACATTGACAGGTTTCTCTTCTAATAACAGTTTTGCTTTTAATTAAGACACAATAACACGCCGAATAAATACTAATTCAGAAGGTCAAACAACAAAAATCAGCGTTATATTTAAAAATTTTTTTTTTTTTTCTCTCACTCAACTCTGTTTGAAACAAACACATTTTGTTTTCCAAAATAAATATTACAAGCAAACTGAGGGATTAGCCATGGTAAGCCCCCTCAGTCCCATCCTGGCTGATATCTACATGCATTATTATGAATCAAAATTGTTTGAAACTTTAAAATTCCCGGCATGGTTCCGCTACGTAGACAATACTTTTACCCTGTTTGAAGGTAATAAAGATGATTTGAATAAAGTTCTTTCAACAATGAATTCTATTGATCCTGCTATTCAGTTCACTTTTGAACTTGAGACTTGCAATTCTCTTCCGTTTCTCGACATTCTGGTCACACGTAACACATCCAACTTCAGTACTACAGTTTACCGTAAACCTTCATCGGTTTGCCTTCCACCACACTTTAATCATGTCATCCGACTAAACAAAAGTTAGCTTCATTTTATTCCTATGTTTTCCGTGCTCTTCAAGTTTGCTCCTCCAAACTCAGCCCTTGATGAAGAACTAAATTATTTAAAAGGCAATAGCTATTGACAGGGGCTTTTCACCCAACATTATTAATCCGTGCAGTTAAAAATTTCTCATCTCAACACACTCAAAAGCCACAACTCCTGTTTTAGGAGATTTATAAAAATTACTGTTATCATTCCCTTTCTTTCCATCAATTAGCTAATAAAGTTGCACGTATTTTGCAGAAATTGAACTTTCGGGTTGTTTAATCTACCCTATCAATAAAATTCCAGACTTCCATACTTAAGGACCCCATTCCGGGATATGAATTTTTGGGGTATTTATAGGATTCCTTGCCAGTGTGGTTTAATTTACATTGGCCAAAACTAAGAGAGCCTTAAAATTTCGCGTCAAAGAACATGAGGCATATGTTAGGAAAAAGGAAACACAGGAGTCCTCTGTTGACTCAGCACTTGTTGGTCCGAAATTCACACTTTCCAATTTTTCTGCTGCAAAAATTATTCAAAAAACATCTTCCATTGGAGAACTGGATTTTCTAGAGGCATTTCACATTCATTAAATTCTTTCTGTTCTAGTTAACGATCCTAATTCCAATCCAAATTTGCCTTCGGCTTTTAGAGAAATTATGTTTTAGTTCTGGTTTCGCCAACAGATGGCCACTTTGGGGGGGGGGGAGCGGGGGGGGGGGAGGGGGGGGGGGGGGGGGGGGGGGGGGGGGGCGGGGGGGGGGGGGGGGGGGGGGGGGGGGGGGGGGGGGGGGGGGGAGGGGGGGGGGGGGGGGGGGGGGGGGGGGGGGTGGGGGGGCGGGGGGGAGGGGGGGGGGGGGGGGGGGGGGGGGGGGGGGGGGGGGGGGGGGGGGGGGGGGGGAGGGGGGGGGGGGAGGGGGTAGGGGGGGGAGTGGGGGGGTGGCGGGGGGGGGGGGGGGGGGAGGGGGGGGGGGGGGGGGGGGGGGGGGGGGGGGGGTGGGGGGGGTGGGGTGGGGGGTGGGGGGGGGGGGGGGGGGGGGGGGGGTGGGGGGGGGGGGGGGAGGGGGGGGGGGGGGGGGGGGGGGGGGGGGGGGGGGGGGGGGGGGGGGGGGGGGGGGGGTGGAGGGGGGGGGGGGGGGGGGGGGGGGGGGAGGGGGGGGGGGGGGGGGGGGGCGGGGGGGGGGGGGGGGGGGGGGGGGGGGGGGGGGGGGGGGGGGGGGGGGGGGGGGGGGGGGGGGGGGGGGGGGGGGGGGGGGGGTTGTGTGGGGGGGTGGGGGGGGGGGGGGGGGGGGGGGGGGGGGGGGGGGGGGGTGGGGGGGGGGGGGGGGGGGGGGGGGGGGGGGGGGGGGGGGGGGGGGGGGGGGGGTGGGGGGGGGGGGGGGGGGGGGGGGGGGGGGGGTGGGGGGGGGGGGGGGGGGGGGGGGGGGGGGGGGGGGGGGGGGGGGGGGGAGGGGGGGGGGGGGGGGGGGGGGGGGGGGGGGGGGGGGGGGGGGTGGGGGGGGGGGGGGGGGGGGGGGGGGGTCTTATCTTGTCCAGGCTTTTTATCTTATCTAACATTATTTCCTATCTTATTCATTTGCGGTTTTGCAGCTGAAGATGATGGTTCGGTAAAACCATCGAAACTAGTCCTGTGAAAATTTTTTAAATATAACGCTGATTTTTGTTGTTTGACTTCTGAATTAGTTTTGCTTTTCTTCACTGGTATTCCATGCTTGTAGTTCTTTACCACCCTTATGAGTTTTTTCTCATTTTGTTCGTTTATTGTGCTATCAGAAAACAATCGGTTTATAAGTGACGCCTGAGAAGTGTATGAAATTTTCTAACCATCTCATTATATTTTTCCTTAAAATGCGGACGTTAGAGCAGCATTCCCAGTTTTATTCAGGTCATATGTAACCTTAAATCTGTTCGCATTTCCAAAAATTATGTACAAATCTTAGTCACATTATAAAAATACGCATGCACTTTTGTGAAAAACTGAGTATGATTTACATCATCTTGGTCTGAAAATTTCCAATTCTTCTAATACATCAACTGTTGATGATAAACCTTAGTCTAGAACTAAAACTGCTTATGAACGTCCTAAAACGTTCTTGCTTCTAAATTCCGAAAGCTCAGACTGAAATTATCCAGTCCCATTCGTTCTTATAATCTCTCTATGTTAATATTAATTTCGTAGTTAATATCTCTACTTATAATCTCTCTATTGTGGATATTAGTCTCGAAGTTCATATCTCTATTATTAATCTTCCAGAGGATCAAAAGAAAGTGTTAAAATATAACTTCAACTTCCCACAAAAATGTAAATCTTTAGCTTCCCAAATAGCTGCTAATACTGAAAAATCTTTTCACTGCAGTAAAATTTCGGAAGCTCATTAAGATACAATCCTCCACCTAATTACTCACAATATTAATTGTAATAAAAAAATTGTTCGTTTCGAATCTCAAACAACTGAAAACGAATGCCTTATGCGAAATTAATTCTAATCTAACAATTGTTTCCGAAGATGATAAGAGTTGACAAGTAGTTGTTATGGGCAAACACACATTACAATGATTGAAAGCCCACCCTCGCTCGATCCCTAAAGATCTTTCAGCTTTCAGGAGTTAAAACAGCTACTAAATGTTTTCATATTCTCCCAATTCAATTTAAAAAATCGCTCATCCCACCCATTGCTTAATGTGCCAGATTTTATGCCCTTCTCAAAATTTCCCTAAACTGAAATACCTTTTTGCCCTATAGATTCTAAATCAGTAGTAGCATTATATCCTTTAGCCAAATCTTTGGTTCCCAGGTTTGCCCAAGTATTTTCGAACGATATTTCACCCTCTTAAATGTAAAAAGTCGACGATGAATTGAAAGATATTTTTCCTTAATGCTCAGTTGCTTGTTTTTCACGTCTCAGCATAAAAAATATATATATATATATATATATATAAACTAATGATTCTGCAAGTGGCGCCTGAACTAAAAAGGTGGCGGAATAAAATTCGTCACCACCAGGATTTGAAGACTAGGTCCCCTCATCCCCAGTTGCGCTTTAAAAGGGGGAGTATATGAGTATTTTCGCCCTCCTTTTTGCATACCTTCGTAGTGTAAATGGAAGCAAACTCGACACTTCTTTAGGAGGCTTGGAGTTCGACTCCCAGCGAGCGCATTGCACATTTTTCACGTCTTCAGCTTCAAAGAAACTTAATGACTGCAAACTGCACCAATGGGCAAAATTTGAGAACGAGACGGGTTATCGGATGTAACGTCGTGCAGAAGTATTCCCCATTCACACAAATCATATCAGATGCTTGTTTTGTTGAAACTAAAAACAACTGTTATAAAAGGGCAAGGAGAGGTTTTTTTATCTTAATTTTTGCTTAGCCTTTATGACGCACACACAAAGTAGTATTGTTTTCATATTCATTCGAAAGGCTACATTACAGTTTTCTCCGTTAGACGTATATAACAATTAAACTTCAAATATATATCTTTATTTTTTAATATTTTAAAGAAAACGCACGTTACAGTAAATCACCCCTTTATTTCCTTCTTATTTTAAAGGTAAGGCAGGCAGCCCTATTCTGCTTGTCGTAATTAACCCTACTTTAGTTGCTTTAGGAATTCCCGTTATTAGCATCATTTGTAATTATTTCATGTTCGTTCCAACTTTCATTTTTTTCCCCGGGGAACTTAGCTGAGATAATGGCAGATCCCAAAAATACAGTTAAAAAGCGAGCATGGTATTCTTTCAAGTCTGACATAACCCACAGTTTTAATGATGTTTCATTGTGAGAAGCCTCCCTTTTGTTCCGCCTACTGAAATTTATGTAAGCAAAGAATGCCTTCAAGTGTTTCAGTCAGAATTTCAAGCGCAGAATACCCAAAGGAACTAGGGTTAGAATTGAAACAGTGATCATCCTTCTCAGGATTAAGTGTTTATCAGTTATACTTCTACTTAGGTGGGAATATCAGCATCTGTCAATGTTAATGTTGTTTGAGATATAAATGATTTCGTTTGCATTATTCTTCCCAATTGAATTCTAAATTGTCTTTTGTCCTAGCGGTAAGTCTTTCTGTATGTTACATATCTTCTTTGTTATTTTTTTATTTTAAGGCCTGATTTTATTAACTACTGCATTCATTTTAATGCCTTTGAATAAATAATCAAACTAACAAAGACGGAATGTTACCTTTACCTTTTTGTTCACTTTTAGACTTGTACAACATATTTTGCTTATATCATATAAGATGCAATACTTAACATCTTTGTAAAACAGCTAGAAAATTTGGTATGTCAAAATCTAGTCGAGAGAAAATGGTTTTTACAAGAAAAATAAAGCCTTTGCACATGTAATTTTAACAAAATTAACTGAAATTTAATAAATATTCGTTAATAACAGCCAAAAATTTTCTCTTGCCTCTTCAACAAACTATCATTTCTCTCGAAAAATTCATTAATAACCTCACATTAATAAAATATTTCATCTCCTCTGACAATACTCCTTTAAAGCCAAAATGGGAGGGGGTGAAATATTTCATCTTAATCTTCATTAAAGTTCTTTAGCTTTTGGAGAATGTCACGATAGTAAATTCTAAATGAGTTAATGAAAGATTTACGTGTTGGGTTACCTAGTTTCTGAAGTAACTCTTCAAAATCTTCATTAAGATCTTTGAAAGATTACAATGCCCGTAATTCGGGCACTTAATCTATGCTATAAATATAGTAAAACGAAGTTCAGAAATATGTGGACTCTTAGGTATTCTTTAATCCTTACACATTTGAACAGATTTCTCACTAGTCTGACCGATTTCAATAAATAAAGTAAAAAAAAATGAAAGAAATAAAATGAACTACCAAACTTACTGTCATGAGTATAAATTCATTGCATTTAATTCAGAGTTACTGAGTTACTTGAGCATTTAATTCTGATTCTGAGTTACTGTATTTTTTTCATCGTAACGAGAAACACAAAGCTAACAACAGAACATTATATGAAACAATCTCGTACTTCAGGATGCGGAATTATTATCTTTAGGACATTATATATATATATATTATTTAATAATACATATATGTTTTAATTATCTACATTTTTAAAATTTGTCTCAAGCTTGGTATAATTCAGCATTTTCTCTTCTACAGGCGAGCTTTATAATACCCTTTGCAATATATACACAAAGAATCAGGCGAATAAGAAGTTTCTCGGTCTTTTTTCACCACTTTGCATCAAGCACAAGTTTTTTTTTTTTTTTTTTTTTTTCGTGTAACGTTTTAGATTAGTGTTGAGATGGAACATCTCATGACACTCTTGGTTTACTAGGAAATTATTCTTTTATGCTTAATAATATAGGCATCTGGCAATATTTTAAATCATTTTGAAGTGTATTTGAAAACCGCAAGAATTATTTTTAGTTGTGTGTTTATCAGGTGGGACAAAACATTACACAGTTTTTTTACTAAGATATTAATACTATTTTGAGTTATAGTTGAGAACTGCAAGAATTATTTTTATTTTATTTCCTGTTTGATTCACACAAAATATGTACTTAGTATTGCAATAAATATGCAGTAGGAATAATAAAGAAAGTTTTCCAACTTTCTTTATTATGCTTACTTCCTTCCATATTATGAAGTAGGAATAAAGAATGAAAAAATGTTGTTTTCGGGCTTACTAAAAATATTTCAAAAGAGTTAAGTGAAAGAGAACTACGCACTAGTTGAGCATATCCATACTGAGAAAAAACAATAGATTCTCTCATCTTTCTTTAATTTATGTCACCAGTGTTAGGATCTGGTTAGCGACACTGGCTGCCGTATCGAAGGCAAGGTTGTTTGTAAGTGTAAAGTATTTGTGTGACATGGAAGTACTTAAAATACTGCCCATCAATTGTTTTTTTGCAAATATTTTTTATAAAAAATTAATCAAAGCTCAATTTATCATTTCTCTTTCTTTTCCGTTATGAGCAATAAGATCATGAAAATTTCTGTGGGTATTATTTCAATTGTATTTAGTGTTTTTCCAATGCTATATAACAACAACGTTATTCTATTGAAGTACTGTTACAGCATACACGTAATTATAGTCAAATTTCGTAGAAGTCTCATAAATAATACTCTTAAAGAACAAACAAAAGGCGTATTTTAGTTATATATTTTATTTAACAAAAATAAGTATCATGATTACAACAAGAATCACAATCAATAAATATATTACCTCAACAATAACTGCAATTAATACGAAAAACATTATTTCATTAGGAGAAAAGGAATTAGTAAGCTATTTTGGAGCTTTCATTTCTGACTATCTTTTTCAATAGTGCTGTTGTGTTTATCTGAGTTCAGTATATAAATTTTCTTCAGTATTATTAGACTTATATTTTGAGTTCAGAAATTTCATTGACGAAAACCTCGATTTGTAGATCGAAGGAATTAAAAACATTGAAAGCAACTTTCTTAATATTGAAAACAGTTTCATAAAATAGTTTTCCTTTAACAATTGTATTAGTATTTTCATTACTGATTTATTTTTTCAAATTAATTTTGCGTTGAAGCTATAATACTTTATTTTTGAAACTATGCAAACCCAAATTGAGCAAATGCCAGTACATTGAGCAGAAAGTAGAAAGAACGTCTTCAATTATCAAAATACTTTCTTTTCGAAAACAGGTTGATTAAAATAACCACTATTCAAATTAATTAAAATAACCACTATTCAAATTAATTAAAATAACCACTATATCTATATCAGTACAGATACTTTTTAAAGCTTATATAAATATTAGACCATTTTTGTGATTTTCCTTCGTTATTATAAATGCTTTTATTTCTGGATTTGTAATTAATGTATGCATGAAAATTGAAACGTAATATGAAAACATTATTTTTTAATTTTCATGCAAGGATTAAATGGATGCAATTTTGCGTGAAATCATGCATTAAGACTAAAATATGAACATATAAATGAAAACTAAAGCATTTGTGTTCCAAAATATTGAAATATATATAAAAATAAAGTTAATTTGCATTAACAATGCCCGATCATGCTCACTTACAAGTGCCTATATTTTAATTCGCATTATGAAAATAGTTTTAAGTTTAAAAAAATAAACAAATTATATAAGAAAAAATTGTTAATAATAATTAATTCAGGAATTGTCTAGTCAGCAATCGGATTAAATTTATTAAAGTACAAAATTATTAAATGTGCAACGTTTCCACCGTGTACACATTCTAAGCCAAAACATATGACGTGCATTAGATCTTCCTTCATACAATAGCGGTTAAGTCATAGATAGATAACCCTCGTGAGCTTTACCATATAACGAGTAACTAAACTGGAGTTAAAAGCATAAGGAAATGCACCATCCACTATACACTTTTCAGAATATTTTAACTTAATCGTACATACATTAAAGCCATTCCGCAAGATAAATATATATAAGAAATAAAGGAATAAAAATCAAAAATCAAAAATAAACACTCACAAACATACCCAAGTTCAAACTCGTATGTACACTGTTCGACGCTGAAAATGCAACACCAAGAAGGAGTGGCCAGAAAGTTATGAAACTCGGCAAACAGAGAGAGACAGCAGCGAACAATAAGTGATCTTTATTTCGAAATGGTATGCATAATACAGAGAGAAAACAGTGTTTGCTCAGTAGGTTGTAGGACTAGCTTGAAGGGCGATACACTAAGCAATACGTCTAGGTACAGAGTAATGAGACTACGAAGGTTGCCCTGAGGAATGGCTCGAATTAACGAATAACTACGAAGGTTGGCCTGAATTAATTATTATTAACAATTTTTTCTTATATAATTTGTTTATTTTTGCCCTTTGTCAGCACGCCTCATCTGAAACTAGGAGAGTGTCACATCATCCGCATATCATTGGGCCGTCACAGTGCTCTGAATACGAACTAGAGGTGACCTGGAATCGTACGCAATTGCGCCCCAAACCATGATGCTGCGTTGTCGCGAGGTGGGACGTTCCACAGTTGCTACCGGATTGGATCTGCTCCATATCGAAGCTACACTTGTACGCGGCGACTATCATTGGAGAAACAGAAGCGTGACTCATCTGAGAACACGATCCTGTGCCATTCTGTAGTCCATATCGCTCAAGCTCGGCACCATTGCAGACGTCGGCGTCTACGATGTGGGGTCAATGGCAGTCTTCTTAAGGGACGCCAAGAGTACAGGCCACTAGCCACAAATCGACGGCAAATGGTTCGGTTAGAGGTAGACGTGTCTTGCGGGTGCGGCACCGCTTGTCGGCGGATGTGTCCATCCACGCATGCTGACGTCACTCTGGCCTCAACGGCACCCCTTCGAACTTGCCACATTTCCTTGTTCCAGCCATCGTTGCCATAGCCCGTGCACTGTGGACGCGTTCAGGTGTGCGTTAACTTATATTTGCAGTATCGACCATCTTGCCCTTCTCATTCCGATCACCATGCCCCTCATAAAATCGTCTGTTTGCTGGAAGTGCCTCCATTGACGATGGCCTGGCATTCTCTGCTATTACAAGCGTCATCTAAGACAAAAACAAATTTTCTACCAGAATTTCCTTAGCAGAAATAATGGCACAAAATTGAGCATTCTTCAGATCCTTCCCTTATATCTTCTTCAAAGTGAGCTGGAGAGCTACGCATTTCACTTGATTTGCATAACGCGGTGACATGCGTCTACCATGAAATTTGCATAATTCTCGGGCCACTCCTTCTTAGTGTTGCATTTTCAATGTCGAGTAGTGTAAGTTTAAGAAAAATACAATTGCCAAATATGACAGCAGCTATCATACCGTCGCTTGCCGATGAGGCTCTACTAAGCCATAAACAAAATAAAAGCATGCATTACATGAGTAGATAAAATTAATAAAACTAATCCGAAAATAAATTTCCATTGCCAAAAAAGAATGTCCAGTACCGTTCCAGTCGCACATACAAATTTGTTTACATCCACATAATAGTTTCCGAAATAGAGCTTTAAATTTTCCTTTCATGAAATGTAGTAATGAAAAATCTGCTTGGAAGTTGTTATATGAACGTAAGGAATTTAGTATATAAGACTGGAACTATATTGGATATTTTTTTTCAGACTGGAACATCATTTTCGGATTTATTTATGTTAATTTTGAATTTAATTAAGCGGCGTATGACGGTTAGAATTGTACTGTCGTATTTTGAAATAGTGTTTTTCCGTAGACTAATACAGTAGTTGGAAATTTGAAATTAAGAAAGTTTTTTTTAAGTTATTGTTAAATACCATTTGAAATGCCTATAATATTTGTTTGATTAAGTAAAGTTTTTCTGAAGGGCTTATAGTGTGAGAGTGCACATTCTTACACCTCGATCGCCAACTGTTTAAAATTAAGATCTAATATCATGTCTTATATTTTGGTTTAGAATATACGCTCGGTCGAAATCATGCTTACTTAACACTTTGGTACTGTAATAAGCTTAATCCGATAGCTGGCGAGACATTGTTTAATTTGTTTATGATTAACAATTTATATTTTGAAATCGTTCATTTTTAAATATTCAAAAATTTAAAAGCTTGAGGCACTTATAAGTTTAACATGATCCTAGGCTAGCTTGTGAAAATAATTTTTATTTTTTTCTATACATTTTCATACTTTTTAGATGAAATATTTTAAACTTTTTCATGCGTAGATGTTATCGACACATTTATTGCTGCATTTTGCACACGCTGCGTGTTTTTTTTAAAGTACTGTTGTTTTAATTTAATTTTATCCAGCTAGGTTTTGACTGTTTAAGGCAAAAATGGAAAAAAATAATAATACTGATTTTTCAATTAAGAAAGTAATTTCTTTAAATTTTTTATTTTAATTTTAAGTTGCGGAAGAATAAAGAGAGAAATTCGAAAATAATTTATTAACAGTCTGTAAAAACTAATTGACAGGGAAAACAGGAGAAAATTCAAGAAATGGAACATAATAAGTTAAAAGCAAAAACGGTTACCTATTTATCAAAAATGTTTACCTATGTCTGTATATATCTGAGTTTAGTATCTTTATATATGTATCTGTGTTTAGTATCTGTATATATGTATATAGGATAGCTTTAATATCTTTATAATAACGTATCTGTGTAAATTGTATTAACCATTTTGAAGTTGTCTGAACATATCGCATGTCCTCCTACCCTGCTAGACCACTTGGCCAACAAGTTTCCATCTTTAGATACTCATACTGGCGGATACTGCTGGCAAATCATGCTGGCGGATTTGACACAAGCGTAAAGTTCTAACATATTTCTGATAATGGGGCTTTTGGCCGAAAAGCTAAGTAAACCCAGTAGATGGCTGCTCTATTATCAATGGAAAAGAAAAGAAAAGAAAATTATTACACACACACACACATATACTATATGTTACATACATACAATGTACACGTATGAATGAAATTAAATTTTTTTTTTTTGTTTTCGGCCACAAAACTTGAAAATTTGCTAAGGTTAAATGCTTTTTTTATTTTTATAACTTAATTAATTAGGGTGGTGGTCTAATTAATAACTTGTACATTTAGGAAAAACTATTACAGATATTTTTAATATTTAGCAAAACTCAGCGAAAGGTAGCATTTAAAAATTTAACCGTAATTATGAAAAATGATATTCCAATTGTTTTAATGTAAACAAATTCATCATACCTGCAGAAAGGTATTAATCGCACATTTTGTTTTAATGTGAATACTTCGTTTTAAAAGGCAACACTGATATTTCTGTCTTATTTTCTTCTTCAGGTCGGGAAAGCCATTCAGTATGTGGTTTTTGACATTTTTCGGAATATTTGGTACAGCATCTGTAATCTTAGCTGATGTGCCGAAATGTCCACCTAGCCAGAACTTTTATCCATGTTTCTGTACCAATGACGGCTTGCTTACCTCTATTGATTGTGAAGGACTGGGCAGTCTACAAAAGATAAGCGATGTCATGAAAAACATCAAAGGACAAAATCTTTCATTCGCATTCTGGAAATCCAACCTTGGAGATATACCATCTAATTTCTTCGAAGGTTTCCAGTCCGTAAATCTTCATTTCGAAAATTGTAAGATAGGATCTTTCGGTGACAGGCCTTTCACCGGCTTGGAAAATTCTTTGAAAAACATATATGTATATGGAAGTGTTGACAAAAGAAAGAAAGATTTAGAAACCTTTCCTCTTGGCCATCTTAAAAAGTTGAAGGATTTATACTTTGAAGCAAATGACATAAAAAGGCTTGGCAATGACTGGTTTGAAGGAGGACCTGTGTCTTTGGAGCAGTTGATGTTAGAAGCAAATGATATAGAAGAGCTTGGAGACAAAGCTTTTGCTTCTTTGGTTAATATGAAACAAATATGGCTGGGTGATAATAGGTTTAAGAAAGTAGCTAGATCCATGTTCCCGAATCCTGCTAACAAACTGGAACTTCTAGAAATGAGGTACGTACTGCATAAGAGAAAAATTTAAATAAGAAGAAATATTTTTATGTTTTCACTCTATAATTATCTATCACATAGAATCAAATCTATTTACATCCATTAAATCCAGTTGCTTCTATATGTTAAATCTATGCGACTATATCAAAGATATTCTTTCTATTCTTTCTTACTGTATAAGGTATTTCTACCACTTCCCTAGAGTGCCTTCGTGGTGTAACGGTAGCACGCTTGCCGGTATTCCAGAGGTCCGTAGTTCGATTCCCGGCGAAGGCGGTTGCATATTTTTCATCTTTCTGCTTCCAAATAACCTAATGACTCTACAACTGGATTTTTAATTCACCATTAAATGTGTTTCCCTAATGCATTTTGTTATTGGTAAAAATAATAGTAATTGAAAAAGAATAATACTTATAGGAAAAGAATAATACTTATAGGAAAAGAATAATACTTATAGGAAAAGAATAATACTTATCTAAAAGTAATTTCAAATTATTGTATGAACCTGCTATTTTTATATAAGTATTTTATAAGGCCTTTTTATTTAACTAACCAGTTAGCTCTTTAATGTACTTTTTTATCCACTTCTTTTTGTTTTTACCTCTTTACTCCCGACAAATATAAAGATATGATTATATACCGTGCCCGCAAAAGTCCTTATCTGGTCTTTATTTTCGCAACCATTGGTCTTAGACATATACACCAATTTCAGAAAACGTTTTAAATTACGCAGAGACTGATATAATTTTTATGTTGAAATTAAAAAGATTAAGACACAATAACACGCCGAATAAAACGCTGATTTTTGTTGTTTGACTTCTGAATTAAAAAGATTACTTTGCATAAAATACGAAATTTTACTTTTTATACGTTCCTTTAGTCCCTATACTTATAACAAGGGAAATTTATACTCGTTAAAAAAATAAAACACTAAAGTTTGATTCCCGTACGACAAAAGCTGATCGATATGTAATTTCAAAATTTGCGATATTTGGTGTCATTTTCAGTTTGCAATGAGATTAATAAATAAATTAGAATAATTCGTTATTGATTCCCACCTCCCCTTAGATACCATTCAATGAGATTCTTTTGTGATTTACTACTGTATTTATTTAAAATTTTGTTACATTTTGTATGCCGAAATTAATTTATGAGTTTTTAAAGTCTAAAAAAACGTTATTAATGTTTTGATAAAGCTTTATTTACTTTAAAATTATAATTCGATAATCGTAAACAAATTCATTAAAGCCCAAATATTTTTCATTTTTAATTTATGTAAATAATATAACGAGTGGCTATGTGCCGTTACTGAAGCTTATTAATGTTTTCTGGACACCGAATACTATAAGATTCCGTGAAGATTTTCAATTTGAAAAAAGTTATATTGATCAATATTTATTCATAGTTATCTCCAAAGAAATGCGCATCATATAATCTCTTAACATCAGAAACCTTTTTCAAAATGACATTTTTATTTTAGATACGTTGTGAGTTTTATTTAATTTACATAACCATTTATTTTGTTCTGAATCTTCACTGTCACTTCTTTTCCGTTTTCCCTCCAAGAATGTGGAGGGATGTTTAGTGGAGTTTTAGGACTATTAAGTCAGAGCGTGTTCCGCGGCTTGAAGGCTGGCGTTACATTATTTCTTGCCGATAGTTAAATTCACGCTGGTGAAGCTCAGAGCCAACTTCGCGTAAATTAATCTGTGTAGCCTTTGGCTATTAGCTATTTAAATTTCTACTTTGCGTTCTCTCCCTAAGTGCTGACGGATTTTTATAAGCACCAGGAATGCCTTCTTTTAACTTACTGAGTTTAAAATATAAGGGTCTATTACGCCCTTTGCAAGTTTCTGTTCTTACTTTTTAGACTAAGCGATACGTCCTTAATGTCTGTCAAAAAGTTAGTCACATTTTACAATAGGAAAAGACTTCAGACCTTATAGTGGCGCCAGAACAAATAGCGGATCATGTCGCAAGGAAGTTCAGCTTTTAGTCTGATCCTTCAAAGTTCTGAACTCCACCGGGACCAGTTAGTCCCATGGAGGGATTTGGCTTCGTCGTAGACACAATGCGGGCATAAATGATACCCGTAGTGACTTTTGATGGAAGAAGTTCGCTAATCACTTTTTTTGAACACCTATATTTGCATTGTTTACATTATCCGGGACCAGAAGTTCAAACGTTTACGATAGCAACCGCGGCATTAAGAGGACAGGCACTGAATTGTTACAAATGCATTGGCAAATTATTATTAGGCGAACCAGGTTAACGTAAATTCAAGATTTCTTTGAGTTAAGAAATCCGAGCACTCTCCAGAGTTTGTTTGATCTCGCGGTAAAGTTTGAAAGCAGGAGGGTTGCTGAAAGCTTGCAGCAGAATATGGCCAGAGATCGAATGGGCAATTTAATGGATCAAACCCATAAGGCAGGCCACGGTTTAATAGAAATAAACGTTTTGAAATGAGAGAAAAATTTTCAACTGCGAATGGTGATCGCCAAGAGAAAGGGCAAAAGAGGAAACAGGGGGAAAAAAGCAAGCATAATTTAAACAAATCAGGGGTGCTGAAATAAAAGGGTACAGTAACCCGGGAGACAAGAAAATCCCTCTAGAATTCAATTAAATACGGTAGTAATAAAAACTTTGGCTCTGCCTGTAATATAAATGTTGTTAAATAATGTTTCAGAGAAAGAGAACTGTTATACACCAGGGCTCTGTGCAATTTCCTAGCGGAGAATTGTTTCCGGGAATACTTCAAAAGGTATAGGAAGTTTCAGATTGCGGGGCAAAAGTTACTGCCGCCCAAGGCAAGCAGTGAGTGAGTGAGTGAGTGAGTGCACCGCTATGATGGCTTCCGACCACGAACATGAACCAAACGGAATTATATACCATCACGGCAGGAAAGACTCCAGAGTAACAAGGTTGAATATTATAAACTAATAATAGTTTTTACATATTGTTAACTGCAAGGCACTAAGCGTTATTCTGGTTATCTGCTTTAAGTTCTGAACTTTTGAAACATTATAATATTATCCACGGTTGTTTCTGCTTAGGCAGTGTTCTGAGATTTTCTCTATTTTATCAAGTGCTATTCTGTTTTTGAGTGTGTTAGTCGTCCACATTGCCCAGGCACAGTCCGCTGGTTTCTTCAAGTGCCAGGTTCTTGTATGTACACAATGGAAGTAATAATGGTCCGTGTCGCCTTCCTCTCCGCATTCGCAGAAAGGAGTATCCCTAAGTCTGAATCAAGGCAAGCAGTATACATGCTTAGGAAATGTCACACGTGAAAAAAAGAACGAGCAGCAGAAGATAGGGCTTTTTCGTTGTAAAAATCTACAGGCCTCGGTAATTTTAGGGAGGGATTTGTTAAAGGTGGAATAAATTTTCAGTAAGCCACAGTGCAGCTGGAGATGAAGGAACTGGGGGAAAAAGAAGCACACCCTCCGAAAATTAACTTAACTCACCTACAGACTGAAGATAAAAACAAGTTGGAACACTTAGTAAATCATTTATTTAAATTATTTATCGAGAATCCATTCCAAACTCAAATTGTGAGCCACAGCATTGACAATGGAAATACTCCCCCCACCCGTAATCGCAGGGGGTGCCTCAGATTACGCAGTTGGCGCTGTGCTCAAAATGGGTCGTTTGTATTCCAGTAAAACTTTATCTCCATAACTTATTATATGGGCCCTTAAATTGCAAGAATTTAATCTGATTATTAAACAAACGCCAAAAAAAGAAAATGCAATGGCTGATGATTTATCAAGAATAAAATTAGATAAAGAGGGGAACAGACTCCAGTGTGCTATGTTAACCGCTAAAATTCTTGAATGTTGTGAGAATGTTACTTCTGAATTACAAACGGACACCGAATTTAAAAATATTTATGCCTAGTTAGAAGATCCTGACCATTTAGAGCATCAGGACATTACGACTATTAAACAGAGCCGCGAACTATGAGATCATTGATAATCTCTTGTTTTATGCAAAAACAACTAACGAAAATAATGAATTAAAACTGGTTATTCCGGCTAGTTTAAAGTTGAGCATTTCGCAGAAATTGCATGATTGACAACGTCGGGCCATCTTGGCATAAGAAAAGTGGTACTGCATCAGTTTCTAAATCAGTATATCAAGGCATGCCATATTTACCAATTAGATAACGATGTTAATTATTGCATGGCTGGGTATCTAAATAGCATAAAAGCCACTTTACCAAATTAATTATTAGGAACTGACTTATTAATCTAGTACCCATGTAGTGAAGCAATACAAATAGATAGTTCCTCGTTATCGTGAACCCTTTTTCAAAGTGGGTAGAAATTCCGAAGGTTTTCCTCAAAAGAACCTTCGGAAAAATGCTTTTTCAAATACATATGTATTAAAATATAGAACACCATTAAAAGTAATTTTGGATAACGAAAAACAATTCGATAATCAAATATTCGAGGGACTATGCACAGGGCTTGGCAGGTGGTATTGAAAATTGTTACTTTATCGGCCCCAGTGAAACATAGCACAACAGGTAAATAAGAATATAGTTAAGATTATACTTAGCTATGTAAAAAATCTATCACATGTGCTGGGATTACTACTTCAGAGAATTAGCATTTGCTTTGAAGACGGCTAAATAAGGTACTATAGGGAAAACGCAGCAGAACTGTTTCTTAGAAGAAAATTCCTTACTTCTTTGCATAAACTATTTTTCATTCAAAAGAGGATTTAAAATGGCGGATATTCAAAAGTAAGTCGAAGAAGTTGTCCAGAGTTCGGATACTGCAAGAAGAAAGCAAAAATTATATTGTGATATAAAACGAAGGGAGGTTAATTTTAGAGGGAGAGAGAAAGTTAAATATTCTTTATCATGTCAACTGAAGATAAAATCGGAAAATGTTGCCCAAAATTTGAAGGCTCATCTGTAATTGAACGCATCAAGGAAGCGGTAATTTACTTTATAAAAGGAAATGTGGAAGAGCTGGTTGCAAATACTGATCATTTGAACTATGGACGAAATGACATGCCTCTTTTAAGAGATATTTTGCTAAGAGATATTTTGCTGGAATCACAGGCTAGCGGAAAGGCAGTGCCACCAAGGGAGGTTACAAAACTTCCATCTACATCGGAAGCGCAAATTTTTGGAAGAAAAAAAAACAGAATACCACAAATAAGGGAGAAGAGAAGAAAAAAGCTGGTGGTTGAAGATTCAAGAGGAAATGAACCCGAGAAGAAAGAGGGGCTAGACTCAAGAACCAACAGAGTGCTAAAGAGGGAGCGTAAAGTAAGACGATCTGTGGGATCCGGAGCGCAACCAACGGACCAGCGCCAGGTGAGAGATTAATGCAAATGGCTCCAAGTTCCGAATCCAAATGTCACTGACGGTTCTTCACGGCAAGCTGTATGGCCGAAACGCCAGGCAGAATAAGCTTCATAGCAACGGAAGAAAATTTATAGCAACCATGCTACGGCTCCAATTAACCAACAAACTAGGAAGCGGGCTCTGTAAGCAGTTCCCTCAACGACAAAATAAGTTCAAGAGGTACCAGGAGAGGGCTCCGAAAAGAAAATTACCAGTCCAGGCAGTAGGTGAACCATATCCCAGGAGACGAATTCGAGTGCAGCGGGCGAGTATTTCCCCATCATTTTGAAGGAATTCATCGCCAAGAGGATGAATAACCACCAGAGAAGCAAAAACTAAGTGAAATTTATTTTCTACGCATATTCGGCTTTTGTTTTATATCTAAAAGTGCCCAACGGTTGCTATTAAGTTTTACCTCAAGCAAGCTCATTTCAGTTTTGTTGCACAGCAAGAAGCTTTTGACCTTTAATTAGGCATTTAAGCGCAATGATTTTACGTTTAATCTAAAAATAGAAATTTTGATTTCAGTCCAAGAGACTAATTTTTGAGGAAGTTTGCGAAATTATCAAAAAACTTTGAGCAACTCATGGGCATGTGCTGTAAAGTGCAAACTGTGTAGAATTTTCTCAATGTGATGTATTGTCAATGTTGTATGAAGCATGTTTAACAGTTTAGTATTGCAAGAGTAAATCTGTGCGTTAAAGTAAAAGTACACGCTTGCATAATTGGAAACGATGAATTCTTGAAGTATGAATGAAATGTTTAAAGGTAAGCTAACAAAGTAGGATTAAACTCAGTTAAAGCAAATGCTAGTTATACGCATGTAATTAAAAGTTGAGCTGTCCAGGCAATACAAAAGTTGAATGAACTATTTTGATTAGCACATTAGGAATAATTTTGAATTTACGGTGTTTTTGAAGTCCAGTGTGTCTAAGTTTCTAACATGTAGGATTTCGATTAGGTGGTAATGCAGAAATAGTTATATACAAATGACATATGTTCGTATATTTAGTACATTTTACTGGAGAGCAGAGAGGAATGAAAAATTAATTAGGTGGTAGTGCAGAAATACTTGTACAAATGAAAATGTGCAGTGCCGTGAAAAATGTGCAGTGCCGTTCGAACTCTGGACCTCGCGAATACGCTTCAAGAGTCTTTCCAGTTATACCTCTAAGGCATGCGGTAAGAAGGGAGAAAATACCTTATATATGTTACGGTGAAACACCGAAATCTAGAGAATGTCGACTTTCACCGGTGAATATCAACATTCACATAGTCTCTTGGTGTATGTCCGAAATATTTTCCAAATACTCTTATTTCTGACTTAACCGGTCAATGTCGACATTCACCATGTACTAATGGTGAATGTTGAACATATAACAATATTATATTTTCTTCTCCGTAATTCAGTAGCGAATAAACGCACTTGAAACTTGAAATAAGAACTTAAGAACATGAGAACCTAAAACACACAATACATTCAAAATTAAAAAGGAAAATAATAGAAGTTAAAAACTTACTTAATTATACAGTACGTTCTAAATGAGAAAATAAAATAACAGTAATAAAAAACTTACTAAATTATGTGATTCAAATCTTATTTATTGCAACCACTTAAACTATTATGGCACTTTATGACCTCTCTTTTCGACTTTCACCAGAGCATATCTGTGATTGTCGACATACACCGGTGAGGATCCGAATATACGAGAATGTAGTGAATATTCGGTCTTTCACCGACGTATTTGGTGAATGTTGATATTCTCCGGTGAAAGTCGACATTCTCCAATTTCGGTCTTTCACGGTAACATATGTACTTCGCCAAATCCTGATGGTGACGAATAATTGCCTACTACTTCGTGTGCCACTTGTCGAATTATTAGGTTTTTATCGATGCAGACACGCGAAAAATGTGCAGTATCTTCGCTGGGATTTAAACTCCGGGCTTCCTGAATATGTTTTGAGTATGCTTCCATGAAGGCATGTGGAAAGGAAGGAGAAAATACCTTATAAATGCTTAACAGATATACTAAAATAGGATATACTAAAATATGCAATACAAAATAACCTCTTAATGTTCCAGTAAATTTAATATTAAATATATGAATTTATATTTTCTTAATTTTATTATACGAAACAAATTTTAAAGAGACGGAACAAATATTGTTCCGTTCTGTTGTGGAAGAATCGTCAATAACTATCATTATCTAAAAAAGTGAGAAATATCTTTGATCGTATGTAGTTTTGACGCAGGCTGAATAGCATAAGATGTTTTTTTACTATCTACTATGTGATTCATTTTGTTTGTTTGCTTTATCAGTTTAAATATTCATTATTATTGCTAAGGATCAGAATTTATAATTTAATTCTGATCCATAGCAATGATTGACAAATTCAGATCTTTTCAATACAGCCGCGGGTTTCAAAAAATTGCATTAAACCAGATTTTCATATATAAGATATCAAGAATTAAAGTTTAATTTTCTTTCTGCGTTTAAATTAAGGAATTAACATATCAGTTTACCGCACTTTTTTCTTTTAAGTTTTCAGATGTTAAATCACATGCTATCTGAAAATGTAGACAATAGAATGCTATACTTAAATGCGCATTTTAAATTCCGAAGACAGAGTTTACGTAGTAAATAATGAAAACTACTTTTTTTAAGTTTGTTTTGAATTTACTAAAACCAGAAGTATTTTACTGAAGTTAAGAGGATAAAAAGGAAATCGAGTATTAATCTTTTTAATACAACTGAAGAGCAAAATCATTTTAGCTTATTAAACAGTTTTTATGTTGTCTGTTATCTCATATTCAACAACATACTGGTAACACCGTCCAGAAAATCGGTTTTTATTCAGTTGAAAGCTGAATAATAATACATACAATATCAATTGTTTATCTAACGAGCTAATTTAATTTTTCGCATTGATATTCATGATTAACGTAGTATCATATCTTCGAAATAGTCTATCATTTCCTAATTTTCGTCCTGATGCGTCTATGTTTATCATGTATTAATAAACTACTATATAACCTAAAGGTTTAATATTTATTACCAAAGTTTTTGATAATAGTAATAAAAAAGTTTTACCTAAGTCTTAATTTTAGGCATTTAAGTATTGTTTAAGTACAGAATTAATTTATTTTAACAGCTTCAATGGAATCGAAGAATTGCCTGAAGACATGTTTGATGGCATGCCGCGCCTAACGAGTGTAAATGTTTCTGGAAATAAGTTGAAAACTGTTCCTGAAGCCACATGGGGCAAAATTTGGGATCAGTTGAATGAAGTATACCTTGAACGTAAGAAAATCAGATTTTAGTCCTCTTCGAGACCTCTGCTTAATTCATTCCGTTGTTATTATCGTATTATGACTCTCCTTATTTTAAGTTTTTGACTTAGTGTAGTTTTCGATTTAGCAAGTTTAGGAAACTAAACATTATATTTCTTTATGTTTTAACGAGTCTAATTTTTATATTTCATTTTTTAAACGGCATAAGTCAGATGATTAGATATGACTAGAAGCTTAATCCACGTGACTTGGTAACGCAATTAGAAAAATGGCATCTGGCAGTAACGCAGATTTGAGTAGTAGATAAAATATGTTCGTCATTGACACATAATTTTATGGACCAGTATACTCTTCCTATTTATCCCATATAGTTTTACATATATCTTCAGTCAGAACTACCAGTTTTCAGTTATATCTATTAAACTATTAATTAGTTTAATAGATGTGATCTCTCATTAGAAATAATTATTGTATACATTTGAGTTTATTTCCGATGGAGTTAAAATAATACATGCTAGGATAATTATTTTACTGTAAATAGTCATTGGTTAGTTTTCATCGGTATATACTTGATTTTACAGAATAAAAATATTAATCCTAATTTTCAAGCATTTGCTTTTAGACAGATGAACTTTCATCTCGAAAGACTTTTTAAGAGCAAGTGATTTGCGTATGTGCTGCATATTCGGAAAGCTACAAAGACATGCATTTAGCAGCTTCATTACACTTGCAGGTGTACAGCGCGTACAGAGCAATGTAGGAAATACTTCAAAATACTTCAGCGATTCTTTCCATTAAGGGGACTCATACACCTTAAAACCCATAAGGTGTTCGAATAGGTGACTGTTTCATGAATTGGAATAATATTTATTTTAAAAGCAATTACTACCAACTTTTGCAGCTGACTACATAATGAAGCTGCTTTCTGAAATAGTAACCAGAAAGTTTGTGTTGCCACAAATATTTTTATAATTTAATCCGCTTTGTGACAACATTTTTCGTCATGTTTCCAACTTGCGCACACAGTTTCAAAGATTCTGCTTCATAATTTAATTCCATATTTAATATATAGCTTTTATAACATCTGGAAACTACTGTGAACCTAAAATTTAAAAATTTCATGTTAAATTTTTATTTTATTTTGAGTTTATAAAATGTATTTTATTAAAAAAAATTGTAGTGTTTTCGTCCATAAACTTTTTCAATATTAAAATATTCATCAGATTGTTGGTTCAGTTAGAAAATAGTGCCCATATAAAAAATTCCATCAAATTTTAAGTATGTACCATTAGCCATTTTTAAAATATCATGCGCGCAAGGTGGAAACATGGCGAAATATTTTGTCACAAAGAGGATTAAATTACAAAAATATTTGTGGCAACACAAACTTTCTGGTTACTAGTTTCCAAAGCAGCTATATCATGTAGTCAGCTGTAAAAAGTTGGAAGTAATTGCTTTTAAAATAAATAAAATATCCCAATTCTTGCAATAGTCACATATTCGAAGATCATGAGGCGTTTAAGGTGTATGAGTCCCCTTAAGCGGTGGAGAGTCCGCAATAAGTTTTACTATTTCGTTTACTTGTATTTGAGTTTTTAGCAGAGTAATGGTCTCTGAAAATCACGTACTTGAAAATGATTAGATGCTGTTTAAAAATTTGATTCTTCCAGTTAATTTAAATCATGACATCTTTGGAACTGATTGTTTTGAATTTTGAATCATGAACTATACTGAGCGCAGATTAAATTTTCATGTGCATAAGTACATGTACATTTTCATGTACTAATTTTAAATGAACACTTTCCACGTCGCAGTTGCAACTCACATAAAATTGCTGTAAAAGGTAAAGAAAGCGTAATTGTTGCATTTACAAGAGAAATTGTTCATAAACAAGATATTACACTTAGTTATGATTTACAATAAAAAAATAGTAACACCGCGTAGTCTCTTTTATATATACGCGGAAGCATTACTTCTTCCAAAATTCAGAAACAATAAATTTACACATACCTAGTTCTCGTTAATAATCGCTATATTGTGTATCTTTCTTTTGTATTAATTTGCATCGACGCTGATTTGACGTAGGCGTTAATTTAACGTTAATATTTCTTTCGCATTTTCAGCCTTTATCACTTCAGCAGTTTTGAAGGTGGTAACAAAACTAGCGCCATATTAGGCTTTTTTTTTTTTTTCTTCTTTTGCAGGTTTTCAGGGTAAAAAATGTTAAAAATCATGCCCTTTCAGCTTTTTTTTCTATTTTTCCTCTTCACTATAGTTGGTGACCGAGGGGGGGGAATGTTCCAAAAAAAGACTAGACAGAATCATTGGGCGGAAGTTGAGCGAATTTCAAATACAGCCAGGACTGGGACTTGAAGAATACAGCAATGATGAACGGAAGAGTGTGTCAGTATATTTTCTTTCTAACCGTTAAATCTTCATTGCTAGCGATGCTTTCTCAATCATACATCATTTATTACCTGTTAAGTATTCAAAAAGCTTATGGGAAATCTGTTTTCGTTTTCAGAGACATTTGCTTTGCAAATAAACTTTTGCCAGCGTTTTCGAAGTTTTTAATTATTTAACCATTTTCTTAGCTTTGAACTGTTTAGAAAGCACGTTTTTGGTCTGAAATATTCTGCTAAGTAATAAACTTTAAATTGTTTACATTTACAGGTAACTCCGGATTCGTTTGCGATGAAAGTATGAAATGGATCTATCAACGAAAGTTGCCGAAAATTTTGACTGGGCGCTGCACTGGAGGGAACAAGTTAAGCGGAAGAGACATCAAAAGTTTAACTCTTGCTGATTTTGACTAAACTAACAGAATGATTGGCCTTCGCCTTACCGCTTCTATAAACATCCGTTCCAGGCTATTTATTATTCTCAAATTTAAGAAACAATGATGTATTAAGCGTAATCCTTTACTCTGTAGAACATTGCTTTTCTGTAGTTTTCACATGTCGTTCGTGATTTGAATTTATTAAAGTATTTTCACCTTTCTTACAATATTAGACTTATATTTAAGTGGGTGTTATTAAAACACAATTTATTTGATCGTGGTACATAGCAGTTATTCGATCCATTTCGTTCAACACTATATCGCCTAATATTTAATTCACCCTATGAGATTCGTGCAATAAAGCAATGCAACTACTCTCCAGAGCTTTGAAACGAAATTCGTCTGAAGGTAGAAAAGGAACGCAGGATTTCGTTTCTGCTAGGGATACAAGGTAGGATGTTTTCGAAAGGGGGATATAAAAATAACATTTTTAAAAATACACTTATTTTATAAAAGATTTCAACTAATTTTTATGAATGAGATTTGCACATACCTGAACCTCTTTCTCCTTGCATACAGCTCTGCTTACTTACAGTGTTTAGTAATAAATACTGCTCTTTTCTTTTTTACATGCTGTTTGATATGCAAGTTACATACACGTTTTTATAAAACATACATTATTTTTCCCGTAGATTACAAAAGCCGTCTTATTATTTCAATGTGTTACACATATCAATACAATATTTAAGCATGTGAAACATTATTTAAAAGTTTATCCATTCTAGTTTGTTGCATATTTCTTGTTAGTAGCTTTTCAACGGTGGTCTCTAAGACACAACATTTCTTGGAACTTTCTATTATTCCACCTTTAAGTTCGAGAGTTCTTTTCAAAATATTTAATGCTTGTCGAGACTGTGCTGCTGTTGGTATACGATCCAGATTTCCGTCTTCGGACTCACATTAACTTCCATTATCTCTAAATCACTCTTTTCGTAGCAAGTTTGGTAGCAAGTTTCATCGATTTTCAAATATTCGAGTAAGCCCAAGTAGCACAGCAACGTCGTAACGACGTTGCAAACTCGTCGCAAAAACGTTGCAATATGTCGTCTTTAAGACGCCCAGATGTCCGCGAACATCCACTGTTTTGCAACCGTTGCAAAGACGTCTTTATTACGTCTTTGCAGATGAGGTTTTTGTCGCATAGATGTCGTTATTGCGTCTTTCGCAGGTGATATTTTGGTTGTAAAAGTATCGTACCACGACGTCTTAAAAACGCCTAAATATTCGCCAAATTCCACCTTTTTGCAACAGTTGTGAAAATGTCGTTATTATGTCATTGTGTTACATATTGATTTATGCAGAAAAATAAGGTTAATAATTAATATACTTTTCTTCTTTTTTCAAATTTTGTATTCCTTGTGTTTATCTAAAGTTTAAATATTTTATCATTTCCTGAAAACTGGAAGATAATAAAATTTTTTCTCTTTAGAATAAATATGCATAATTAATAATCGCCTTAATTATTTTCAGTATTTTAAACTACAGTTTTTAAATAACTTAAATTCGAAGTTATGATTATTGAAGATTTCATCATTTTTTTATCATTGAAGTGAGAGTAATTATGAAAGTAGTTATCATAAATATATAACATAAATAGTAGGTTTTAAATAAATAAAACTCAGTTAGACATAAATAAAAGGGAAGATATATATGTGGGTAAAAAAAGAGCTTTTCTGATAACAGCACTAAATCTTAGAGAATCATTGAAAATTTCCCATGTCATGATAAATTAGGAAGTGGTTCTTAAGGTAGCATAATCAGTATTTTACCTGAATTCAAGTATAAATTTATTCTCGTTTCATAGTAAAAAATATAACCATTAACTTCTATATCTCCAAAATATCTATTTTGAAACACTGTATAAAGTAGTTAATAAATGTGATCAAAACTATTTCATACAAAAATATCTCTAAATCTAATCACAAAAAAAACTTCCCATATTCATATCTAAAATGAAATAATAACCTAACAAACAACATACATGACAGCACTATTTAAAAAAAAAACATTAACTAGCAGTGTTTGAAAGCATAGATAAGCAGAAGGAAGGTAATGTAACTAAAATTTCCAATTAATAAAAAAAATATTCGTGTTTTTTAAATAGTAAGCAAGTAAAAGTGCAATAATTATGGATTGCAGTACTTACTAATAATGCTGATGTTTTTAACACCATTTTTTTCGATCATATGTTAACGTATTTACTTACTTTTAGTTTCTACATTTTAGAATAGTGGTAGATTACAATGATCCTTTCATGCACTTTATATAATCAATAAGTTTTCCTTTTGTTACTGTACAGAAATAATTTAAATAATATAGTATACAATAGTACGCTAAGTACGTTAAAATAAGCTCTTCGTTAAATAGCACACGATGAAACTTTTTGTTTCTATTTATTATGAATTTCTTTGTTATTACAAGCACATAAAAAGTAAGCGAAGAAATCAGAATATATTTAAAAACTTTAATAATAAAAAAAAAAAAAAAATGAAACCTAATTACAACATTTCATTTATTGAGATAATCTAATAAACATACATAACGGCAATATTTAAAAAAAAAAAACGCGCGAATTACACAGTGTTTGGAAGAATAGATAGATACCAAACGAAAAGTAATAAAACTGCAATTTGCAATCAATAAAAATATTTAGTTTTTTTTAATATTACAGAATTAAATATCACATAATTATAAATTATAATATTTCATAGTAATGCTAATGTGTCCTTAACACTATTTTTTCGATCATACATTTCATACACTTTAAAATTATTAACCTTTTCTGCATACCATACAAAAGACAACATAATATACAATGTGCATTATTAATTTTTAATGTATTCTTTTGTATTTTTCTAATATGTAATTACATATATATCTAATTCATCTTCAGCTGTCATATTAAGTACCAGTCCAATAATTTCTTTCTATTTTGAAACTCATGAAATAATAACCTAACAAACAACATAACAGCTTGAATTGCTGTTGCTTCTGCATGGATTGCATTTTCAGCAAAATCAGAAAATGCTTTAACGTTGCATGTCGTTTTTGGTTTTATATGAATAATTCTGAGCACCAAGACAATAATCGATTAATATAAATGATATAAGATATATCACTTACGACGTTATAACCGAATCGCTTATCCATGTATCGAAATATTGCACCGCTGAGGTCACTGAAAACTGGAAAAAACCGCCATATAATTTTAAGCACTGGTAACACATAAAACACCAAAACAGAACACTATTTCACTATATATGGACGATTTTAGCAAGCTGCATCCGATATTTTCTTTAAACGATGCATCCAAAATTCAAAATTTTGGTGTGGTCTTGTAGAGAAGATATTCACAAACAAAATAAGCAAAAATTCGGCATTACCGCGAAGATTTCTTCTCAATTCAAAATAAACTGCCATCACTATATTCTTGTGCATCTTTCTCTTTCTGTATTGAAGCTCTCCAGTATTTAATTCCGACAGTGAATTTCAAAACCGTGAAGAAAACATTCCTGAAAACAAGATTGGATTCTGAAATTATTTCGCTGTTAACTAACTTGTTAGAATTTGGCAGCTAGCCAAAGCGCGCAAGCCTCGACCTCAGATGTTCGTTTAAATAATCATCCAGTAAATTATATGCATGGAATGTCAATCGGTTGAACAGCGTTTCAGTGTAACTTTTCAGCGAATAATACGATTGCATTAAACGTTTCGACGGTTCTTCTGACAATTTAATAGAATCTTTTTTAAATGGTTTAGAAGAATTATTTCAACTGAATAGAATTGCGAACAATGTCCACAAGGTTATATTTATAAAAAATATTTATCGGGCTCGCTAAAACATTTGTAATGTCAGTATTGTAAATCCCGAGTGTACCATATACTAGGATTAAACCAAGCAGTTTTAAATGCATGGAGAATGACAAAAACGTAAAAAACAGTTCATCAGAATTTTTTATAGGTAATGAATTTTGTATTTTTGTTCACAGTTTCTCTAATTTTGATGTCAACATTTATTAGTAATTTATCAAAGCCATTAATTTTATCGTTTTCCATTAAAAATATTAATATTTCTTTCTCCTTTTCCATTAATTTTCCGTCAGATATTTTAGACAGCCGTTAAATATGCAAGGATATGCAACGTCTTTTAACATTGGACGTTTTCTCGGAATTCTTAAAATCGCCCCATTTATAATCGTGAATACATCTTCACGCACAAGCATATATTCGCGAAAATTTTACTTTTTGCTCTGTGGGTGGTAAAAATGTTTGATAATAGGTCAGCATATGAATTCAAATAAATTCGCCCTTACTTCAAAAATAAAGTCATATTTCAGCAGTAAAATAATTGCTAACATGTGATTTGCATTGATTTCGAAAATATGACTTTTTAAAGTATATAAAATGCATAACTTAATAACTTACTTTATAGATTTGTTTCATTTTTAAATATTTTGCTATAATATTTATACAAAATATTTTAAGTATTAATTATTTTTACAAAATTTTAACAATGATTTAGCACGTATTTTTAGTACTAATTAAATTTAATAATTCAAGTATTCATATTAAATTTATATTTCATTAGATGAATCTACCTTAGATTAATATATTTAGATGAAATAAAGTAATGAAACATTGCAAAATAAATCTTATGTGGACTTCAGATTCTTGAAAGGGCAGATTTAGTCTCTTTTCATTCTAAAAGTAACGCTGCTGAACTATGAAAAAGATGCTAAAACGACCACGGCTAAAAGCGGTCATATCATGACGTTTCAGCTACGTCGGCAAATTGCCAAGGTGCAACGGCAAATATTTTGCGTCTTCGCAACATTGTAAAGACGTCGTACCACGACCACTTTGCAACGTCGTTACGACGTTGCCGTGCTACTTGGGAGGTCTCATCATGTATTTCTACATCGTCACCCTTGTCTTCTGGCACATCTTGAAAGTTTTCAGAAATTTGCTTTGGATAAAAGATGGATTGGAATCATTCGCGAAGCTACTTCATTCCACGAATTCAAAATAAAAAGCAGGGCATAAGAAAGAAATCGACTTAAGAATTTCCTTAGAATAAATTGCATCAGTCGTATAGGTTTCATTAGTAATATTTTGAACTACTTTCTTCCTGAAATGACATTTGAATGCTTTTATAACACCCTGATCG